GCGAGCTTGAAGCGCCAATCAACGCTAATACGTGGCCGGGTTCAGCGGCATAAGAGTTCATCACCAGCGTCAATTATTGCGGCAATTAGCCAGCTTAAGAAGGGGGCAGAGATAATGATGCTCTCGGCTGAGCTAATGCGCGATCAGCTCGCCAGCCTTGAGAGGGCTAATAAGGCAGCAACAAAGCGTAGGCAGCGTAAGAAAAAGCGGATACAGAAGCGAGGAGTACTTACAAAGGGAGCTGGAGAGGATCTACTCGCTCAGCGCGAGGCTAATCAGCAGATTGCTCATGAAGAGCGTCAGAGAGGAGAGCGATTAGGTGTTAGCCGCCAGGCTTTGGCGCGCTGTAGTAGGTGCAGAGAGACTGGCCATAACTCGCGTACGTGCAAGAAAGATACTCTAGGTACTGCTTAATCTATTATGTTAATATGTAGTAAAACAACTATATTGTGGTGGAACTACAGGCTTATAGAGGTGCGCAGGTTTGGTGGGGTGCGGCGCTCGCTTGCCTGCGGCGCTCGCTTGCCACATACGTTACTACTACTACTACTACTACTACTACTACTACTACTACTACTACTACTACTACTACTACTACTACCACCACCACACTTTTCTCACGCCTTCAACATGCACAACATCTCCACGAAAAAAATAAAACACCTTTATTTCCCAATTCCTCCATTTCCTCTATTTCAAATTTTACTTCCCCCCCTTCCCCCCTCCTTCCCCGCCATCCTAACCTCTAATAAGAATAATAACAATATTAAAAATACGAATTGTGTGCATGGCACTTATTGCAAAAAAACCCTAACAGTTGGCTTTTTTTTTACTAAAGTGCATGCGTTTCAGGGGGGGAATACTAAATACGCAGTACGCAATACGCAATACGCAATACGCAATACGCAATACGCAATACGCAATACGCAATACGCAATACGCAGTACGCAGGACTCAATGCTTCATCACTCATCCATGTGGAATTTGAATTTGAATTTGGATACGGTACTTACTTGCGTACTTTTCCAGCTTGGTTTAATAGAAAAAAAAAGGAGTGTTACGCTCGTGTAGAATGCGGGGTTTATGTACAGCTGCATGGTGTGGAAAGTGGAACTCTGGATATAGAACTCACAGCTTTTTTTGAGTTGGTTGGTTAGTTAGTTAGTTAGTTAGTTAGTTGGTTGGTTGGTTGGTTAGGACTTGGGTACAATGTTTATCTGCACACACGGGATGATTTGTGTCTGTTTCTTTTTTGATTTGGGATACGTGGGGTTGGGGGTCTTGGGGTCTTGGGATTGTAAGGTTTGTAAGCTGATAATGAGTGGTGGGTGGAGTGTAGATGGACCAGACAGACATGTAGGTACGTGGGTGGGTGGAGATGTCGCTTGGACTTGGACTTGGACTTGGAATCAACCGTCCCTAGAGTTGAAAGAAAATAGAGAAAAAGGAAAGAAAAAAATATCCTTCTTAGCACTGCGAACTTAGAATCTTATATCAATCAGTTTGACAGAACGCGGGACGAACTAGTCTAAAGTGTAGAGGCCAAGCATGGGGATTGCTGGATTGTGGAATTGCTGATTGTGAGATGGATTAACTAGTTAAGCACGAGACTGAGGAAATTAAGAGAGTGAAAAGCCAAGGAAGGACCAAGAATCTTGGATTCATCTAATTCTTTTCTACTTATATTCCCGCTACTGCTCCTACGCATTAAACAAGCACAAAGACGACGATGAGTATAGCAAAAAAAACGACAACGACAACGACAACGACAACGACAACGATAACGAGAGTGATTTACATTTCAGCTCTACGCTGCATCTTGACGGGCTAAAATCTATCTATCAATTTACCTACGTATGTACATGTATAAATGACTTGGAATGTGGATTCGACTTTCCATTTAGATGTACATCAAATCTCTTGGCTGCATCTTAGTTTGCCTTCCAGACACGGTCGAAGTTGGAATTAGAGTCCGAGGCAAATTCCCACTGCCCACGCCACCGTCTACACCAATACCAACACTGATGCCAACACCGATATAACCGATATCAAAACACTTGTAGTCGAATGCACCCTCTTTTCTTTCATCTCTGCACATACAATTGCCATATCCATGTCCACCACTATCCTTACCATCCTCAAACACCACCATCACTCCCATTCTCACAAACCAACATTCCTCATATTGGAAAAACAAGAAAGATAAAACTACACTAAACTACTATATTCTCCCATTGTCACATGTGCAACGATATATATACTTAGCTTGTAACGAGCATCTAGCAAGAACAAAGAAGAATATGCTGGATGAAATGCGTGGATTTAAGGCGTGTGATTTGAGTGTGAGAAAGAGGAGAGGAGGAGTTATGGGCAAAGGGAACAGGAACGGGAATGTTAGGAGGGATTTGAGTTGGGGGCCAGAGGGGTATGGTTGGGAATACAGTACTAGGCAAAAAGTTTCCCTTCTCAATATTTCAACCCCACCAAAATTAGCGATTTCTCACTAAAAAAACGCCTCTTCTAAAAAACGCTTTTTCTCTACAACCTCTTTTTAAAAATCTTTTAAATTTCAATATATTATAATATATTACTTATATATATATATATATATATAAGTTTTAAGAGAATAGAATAAAGAATAAAGTAGTAGTACTTGTAACGGGCTAGGTAGCCCGCTACAGTACAGATAGCGGTGGCTATCTTATGTATCAACTACGCAACGATATCAGCAGCTCTGATATCTTGTGCCAGCCTTTTTGGCGCGGTGGGCGCGTTGTAGTTGCGTGCGCAGTCTAATAGGACTCGACCCGTTACAT